CCCTTGACTGAAATCATACCTGGGATCCTTCACTCTGCAGGCTGATGCTCTATCCATTGAGCCAAACCAGCTAGGGCTAAAATGAACACTTTAGAAAAAATATTTCATTATTTATCTGTTTGTTTTTCAACATCTTTTTTTTTTTTTTTAAATCCTCACCTGAAGGTATTTTTTTTTTCCCATTGATTTTTAGAGAGAGTAAAAGAGAGAGGGAAAGACAGAGAGAAACATCCATGTGAGAGAAACATTGATTGGTTGCCTCCTGTACTTACCCTGGAGCCTGCAACTGAGGTATGTGCCCTTGACCAGAATTGAACCCAGGACCTTTCAGTCTACAGGCTGATGCTCTATCCACGGAGCCAAACCCATTAGGGCTAAAATGGATACTTTTTAAAGTTATAAAAGTCATAATAAAACACACAATACAAGAATAAGATACTATCAAAAAAGACTGGACTGAGTTAAATGAGAAATCAAAGTACAGAAATTAATAAAAATTACAGTTGAAAACTTAATGTGTTAAACTGAAAATTATATGTATCATTGAATAAATAACTAGTGGAAGAATATTCAAAGGCCTGCACAGAGAAAGGAAGAGAGATGACATGTGGAGGAGGGCTTACTGACATGGAGTGTGGGATGGGAAGGTCCAACACAGCTATCAGGTGTTTCAGAAGGAAACAATAGAGAAAAATGGAGGTCGAATGGTATAAATGGACTATTTCAAGGGAATAAATGAGAATTTTACAGAATTAAAAAAGAGATAAACCTTAGCAAGTCAGTAATATAAAATTCTCTACGAGATACACATAGTACAGCTCAAGCAACACCAAGTAGAAAGGGAAGGTCCATAAAAGAACTGTTGCCTTTAAATGAACGAGTATCAGATTGTCCAGACTTTGCCACGGCAATGATAGGAGCCAGAAGATAGTGGAATAATATATTCAAAGTCCTAAGAAAAAATAACCATCAACTTACATTATAACCAAACTGTCATTTAAGAATATGGGCAAAAAACAAAACAAAAAAACAAAAAACAAAAAACAAACGTTTTCAGACAAATGAAAATGAAAAGCGTATACCACTTATAAATCTTTGTTGAAAGAATTCATCAGGAATATGCTTTGGGAGAAATTGACCCTAAAAAGAAGCAGTGAGATATATGATATTAGGCAGACTTGAACAAATATTTAATTTTGGGATGCATCCCAAAAATACATACATACACTTTGAATAATTATAAAGGCAATACTTATTAAAGTAAATTTCATTTTCAAAATTGAACTATCAGCTGTTAAAGTGTATATACCTTTTAGGGGGACATCCTGTATATAGAAAAACTAATTGGGGAGTAGAAAAACAAGGTGGAATGAAGGCACTGGTCACAGCAGTATGTAAGAAGGGCAGGAGATGAGCAGAGATCAGGCAGGCATTTTGGGGAGAAAAATATTGGTTAACTTTAGACTATTAAATCAACTATGCTTACTAAAATTTTTGTAAAGGTAACAACTGGAGATAAAAATTGTATGCATAATTTTCAAACCAGTAGAGAGAACACCACTGAGTATAAAAAATTTGGTCAATATTAACTAAATGCAAGAAAGGACAAAAAGAACCAGAAAAAAATCAGGTTAAATATAAAGCAGGAAACAAGATGACCCAAAGAAATTCAAATATAGTAGGAATCAGAAAAAGGGTAAATTTAAGCTCTTAATTAGAAAGACACTGTCAGTTGTATTGGATTAGAAAAATCCAATTACAGCTTTAAAAAAGACAGAGTTAGAATTTAAGGACAAAAGCAAAGTTGAATGTAAAAGTATAGAAAATATTAGCCTCAATAAAGAAAGAGGTGTGGTTATAATCAGAGTGGATAAGGTTGTCTTTGAAGAAAAAAAAGGGGGGGGGGGGTGGATATTAAGGGGAAAAGACCAAAAATTCACTGGGATCATATATAACTTGAAGGCACCAAAAACATAGCATCAAGTTATATACCCTGTTTCCCTGAAAATAAGACAGTGTCTTATATTAATTTTTGCTCCCAAAGATGTGCTAGGTCTTATTTTCAGGGGGTGTCTTATTTTTCCATGAGGAAAAATACAGTACACGTTAATTGTTAAATGAAAATAAAGGAAATTTATTACCTGTATACGTTACGGTAGTACGGTAGTTGTCAACACAAACCAGACAAACTGTGAATCCTACAGTATCAAGAATTTACTCATTTATTCAATGACAATCATGTCATCATCTCCTGGAACATCATCATAACAATCCAATTCCTGAATTTCCTGGTGAATTTCTTGTGACTCCATTTCTTTCAGAATCAGTGGACCAAGTCTCTCATGTTTAGCCTAGGGGGGCCTTATTTTCGGGGGGATGCCTTATATTTCACCTAGAAGGAATTCTGTAAGTAGGTCTTATTTTCGGAGGATGTCTTATTTTCAGGGAAACACGGTAAGGCAAAAAGTTGATAATATTTCCAAGGTAAACAGGAAATTACATAGTCATAGAGGATTTTTAACATATCTCTTTCAGTAATTAATAGTTTGAAATGACACAAATTTAGTTAAGCTATAGACCTGAATGGCACGCTGCACAAGCTTGATCAGGTGGAGAATGCACATTCTTTCCAAGAACATGACACATTTACCAAAAGATCTCATATTAGGCCACAGAGCATTTCTTCAATAGCAACGAATTATACAGACCATATTTTTGAGAATAGTCAATTCCTAGACAACAGAAGCAATAATGAAAACCAAACCATATATGTGGATTTTTAAGGAAAAACCCTCTAAATAATTTATGACTGTAAGAGTATTCTAATGGAAAGCCTAAGAATAAATTGTTAACATTAATAAGAAAGGTCAATGAGATTAGATTGCTGGCTATTCAAAAATAAATTTTTATTTTCCAGCAATGAGCAACTAGAAAAATATAGTTTGGAAAATATACAGTATATGTGAAAATAGCAATAAAAATATAAAGGTACTAGGAATAAATCTACCAAAATATGTAGAAAATGTTTATGTGTGAAATTTTAAAATTTTCTTGAAGGTCTAAGTAAATGGAAAGATACCCAATATTGATGGATTTGTGGAATCAATTGCCAAAATGTTAAATTTCTGCAATTTACACATTGAATGTGTTCCTAGTAAAATTTAAATGAGAATTTTTGAGAAAAATATATGAGGTTCAAATATATAGAAGGTAGAGAAAAGAACCAAGAATGCCAAGACAGTTTTGATGAGGAAGATCAACCTATGAGGGCTCACTCACCACTGATGAAAGACTTAACTATAGTTCAATTAAGGAATAATAAAGTGTGATATTAGCTCAGGGAGAGACAAAATAGAGTCTAGAGATAGGCCACATACATATGGAAATTTGTATATAGCAGAGATGCTATTTCAAGTCAATGGGGAAGTTAGAACTTTAAACAAACAGCATTGGAACAATTGGTTATCCATACATCAAACCATATTTAAATGGATTAGACTTAACATATGACAAAGCAGGACTTTAAAGTTTTGGATGAAAATAAAGCAGGATGTTTTTATGTTCTCAGGGTAAGAAAAGGTTTCTTAAACACAACACCAGAAGCAAAAACTATAAATAAAAACTATCAATAAATTTGACTACATTATAATATTAAAAAAATCCCTTTGTACATTAAAGATATCATAAACAAAGTGAAAAATACAAACCTTAGACGTGGAGAAGATATTTGCCATGCTCACAATCAAGAGAGGATTTGGCCCAGAATTTATAAACAGCTCCAAAGGAAAAGGCCAAATGGTATGAATGGGCAATCCTCAAAAGGACACCAATGGTCTCTAAACATGAGAAATAACATGTTCCTCTCTCCTGGAAGTCAACGTCATGTAATTTAAACAAAGAGGAATTGATATTTCCCACTCATCATATTAGGGGAAAAAATCTGACGATGCCAAACCCTGCTGAGGGGAGTGTCAATGAACATGACTTTGGAGGACAGGATGGTAGTAGCTAATATGCACCTGGATTGCTGGGCCTGCAGAGTTTGAACACCCCCGGCTTCATACAACAATGAAAAATCGGAAGAAAGAAAACTAGATTAATGTCTAACACTAATCAGTTCTAATCTATGTTACAACTGTAGGATGGAATGTTATGGAGCCACCAAAATGATACTGCTGAAACTGTCTTGTGATGTAGAAACACTTGACAAATATTAAGCTAAAATCAAGTAATAAAGTAAGATAGTAGGTAGAGTAGACCATTAAAAATACCTGTCTTTTATTCATTAAAGTAAAGATACCAAATGTTACTAATAGTTGCTTCTGGATAGATTATAGGTGATTTCGAACTTCGTCTAAATTTTTTTTTTTTTTGTGGGAAGAGGTTTCCCCCAAAATATTATTTTAATAGAAGCCTCCTTTGTTGAAACAATTTAAACAGGCTGAATGATACTGACTGATAACCCACACCAGAAGGCATGGCCAAGAACTGGTCTTGCTGCGTTCTTTGGGAAATCTGAGTTTTTGAATCTCACAGAATGTAGACTGAGGACCTGGTTCATTAGCCAGGTCACCGCGTACAGGCTGGGCGCCTGCGGAGCTCTGGTCCTCTCTGACTCCGGTTTCACCTTCCTACCGAGACCATTCACAGCCTGGACTGGCCCCGCTGCTGGCTTTGTGATGCGACTCAGCGGACGTTGTCACGGGTGCCAGCGCGGTTTGCAAAGCCTAAGCCTGGGCTCTCCGCGGGGATGGCTGTCACTGAGCCGGCAGCGGCGGCGGCGGCGGCGCGGGCTCGGGGGCGCGCGGGGGCGGGGACGCGCGGGCCGCAGGCGCCGGGGGCGGGCTTGGGGGCGCCCCGGTGGCCGCAGGGCGCGGGGAGGGCGCGCCTGCTGCTTTGGCCCCCGCTGGGGATTCCCCTGGGCCGGCAGGCGCCGGGGGAAATCCCAAAGCGCGGGTACAAGAGCGCGGCGCCAGCGCCACAGCCGGCATTCCCCAGCCATGTCGCGCAGCCTCCAGCTCCTGCTCCTGAGCTGCGGTAGGGCCCAAGACCTCCTGTCCCCCTTGTTTCCCCAAGACACCCCCTTTCCTCGCTTGCTCACGCTGCCATCTCTCTCCCTCTTGCAGCCTGCAGCCTGGCGCCAGCTGCGCGGGAAGTGAAGGCGGCTTGTTCCCAGGATGTGGACCTGCCTTGCACCGCCCCCCGGGACCCACAGGTGCCCTACAGGGTCTCCTGGGCCAAGGTAAGCTCCGAGATGCCCGCAGGCTGGGTGTGGTGGGCTCAATTGGAGGCTGCAGAACCATCTCCCTGAGACTGGTGACCTTATGCGGCTGGGGATGGGGAGTTTCCTGCAGCTGAACTCAAAGCACCCTGCCTTCCCACACCCTCCCGGCCCTAGTCCCAACTCTCCGCGCACCCAGGTACTCGGCAGACTTAGATTTTGTTCCCTAAGACTTCAGTTCTCTCCTGCCCCCAAAGGTGGCCTGCGATGAGGGACCCACCTTAGACGTCTAGGAGGGCAAAACTGTTGAGCCCCTTCGTGTTGATTTTGGAGGCCCAGGAGAAAGCAGCGAGGGCAAGAGGATTTCTGATTTATGGTGTTTTGTGACTGTGGGCAAGAGGATTTCTGATTTATGGTGTTTTGTGACTGTGTTGCCCATCAGTTTGGATGTGGGAGGGGGGATGGGCGATTGGAAAGGGAGGACTGAGAGATGGACTTGACTTGGGTTTGTTTCATAGGTGGTTACCTGTCGGTCATCCCTTTCCTTGGCCTCCTCCCTTACTCTGGCTCCTCTGGCCGTCCTGAGTGGTCCAGCAAGGAGGGTGTCAGTGAGGGTGCGTGAGCCGTGTCCACGCGTGTAAGAACAGGCGTCATTGCCTCTGCTGTGAGAGGATTGAGTCGCGTTGAGGCTTTTTTTAGTTTCCTCTGACCTGGAACATTTTCACATTCAAAGGCCGCGGTTCAGGTGGCGTGGCAAAGCCAAGCTGCGTTGGCCGTCTCTGGTCCTTTGTTCGCCTTTTCTGGTCCTTTGCTTGCCTTCTCTGATGAGATTGCTGCCTCGAGGTTAAGCAGAATGAGTATGCCATTCCAGCCTTATTCTGCAGCGGTCACTTGTTCTCTTACCTTTGAGCAAATCTCCATGCTTTGTCCTTTTCCATCCAAGCCGGCTTCTCTTCTGCCCAGCATAAAAGATGCTGTGAGAACCTGAACACACACATGGCCATTTAACAAGGCAGCAGAGGACAGTGAGAAAGTGTCCTGAGGCTAGCCAGGTAGGGATTTAGTTTTAAAGAAGGGGGAAACTGTGAAACTACTGTTCTTTCCAGAAAGTAATTAAAAAGAAAAAAAAAAGAAAACAATATTAATATTCCCAGGGGAGTAATGAAAAAGTACTCCTGAAACAAGCAGATGAAATCTCAGGCTGTAAAGTTCAAACAGTTGTCAAGTTAAATCTTCTTGCACGAGGTCACTTGGAATGATATAGTAAACCATAGCAATTAACCTTTGGCTTCTTGGATGTCAGCTGATGATGTAACTGTATAATGTATGTGCTTGTTTATTGAACATGACTTTTGCATGATTTACACCACAGGTCTCTCAAAACTGTGATTAAAGAAAAAAAAAAAAAAAGACAACAGGCTCTTGGCATTCTCTTTTTTAGTCTGTTGGCCCAAGGAATATAGTCTTTGAAAATTCGTACCACACTTACTTATTTATTTTTAAGAAAGTGAACTGTGATTGAGTAGCGTGACAGGAGAGCCATGCTGTGCCAATGCACTAATCAAATATCTCAAAAACTATATACATTGTTCCTTCAAGAACTTTTTATCAGGTCCCAGCATATTCTGTAGATATTTGTTATTTTCCAGCTCAGTAACGATACTTTTGCATCAATTGTTCTTGTGCAAGAAAAATGGATAGCGTGTTCTGGAAATAAGGTGAAATACCGAAATACTTCATTTTACGGAGGATTAAGTGTCTTGTGAACCCCACGCCCCGCCAAAGTTTCTTATAAAACGTTTTAGTCAAGCAGCGAGGTAGCTATTAAGTGAGCAATTTAAGTCTGGTGACTTTGGCCAGCCTGGCTCACATCACCTTCTCAGCATCACTGGTGTGGTTTGTAAAACCTCGTGCATAGTCGTGGTTGCTTGTGGAGAAGTAAAGCAGAGAGTCCCTTCCAGGGCGGATTTTCCCTGTCTGCCAATCAAATCACATTCTTGCCTGCCTTCTGCATGTCACAATTACAGTTATTATGACTGACTATCCAAAATTCCATTTACCACCCAGTTCTCAGGCACCACAGAGCATTCTGCCACTGTCCACGTGGCACTGGTCACTTGTGATTAACAAAAAGACCTGTGCAAACCACTTGTTCCTTATCACCTGACTTTTATCAAAAGATTCAAAGCAGACAGTGTCTAATAAGTAGTTATAACATTAGGGCGAATGGGGATGGAACTGTGTCCATTTTATTCTCTTCATTAAGAAGACATAATGGGAGGAACCCAGAGGGGCTTAGTGTAGACATGCACAGGGAGGAATCAAAGGTGGAGCCAAGAGTAGGTGGAGACAGCCCAATGCTTGTTAACCCAACTTTACTTTCCTCCTCTCTGGAATCCAACAATGGCTTCTCCTCTCGTCCTTTCCTATATTGTATCTTTTAAGACAGAATGAGTGATTGAGAAGAAAAAGAAAAGTGAATACAATACATCCATTAAATTTAGCTTTTAAAGTAGTGAATAGATTGTGGTTGTTTAAGGAGGTATTCTGAGAAATTTTGCAAATAGACTTTGTTCCAGCATGCTTCTTCCACAGGCTGTGGCCTTGAGTTGGAGTCTAGCATAAGAGGGCATAGCACAACCCCGGGTCTGCCAGGAATAAGATCACCCATTAAAGGGTCACATCTGTGCTTCAGACTGAGCACCATTGGTTTGCACTCTCCTTATTGAGGCTGAACTCAGTTTGGAGAGAGAGGATGACACTGGGTGGAGTGACTGGGGATGGTTGATGTTTGCTACTACTACTAATGAATGACTATTAATCAAGAAGATGTAATACCAATCTTTATCATGCTAGGAGCCCTGACAACCTATGTTGATGCATAGCGAAAGAGGATATATAGTTTGTCTCTGGTTGACACTGTGGGGGTGAGGACAGATGCGTCACGAGTGTGTTTTTAGATGATTTCCAAAGGAAGGGAGAAAGGGGAAGTAAGACTATGGTTTCAGAGAATAGATCAAGCTTGATATTTATTATATTTAGAAGAGTGCTAGCTGTAGGAGATCATGGGATATCCTGGAGACTAAGGGGTTTGTGGGAGAGCAGGCTCATGGCTTGAATGAGGCTACTTCACCACTCCGTTATTTCTTGTTCTTCATTCATTACGAAGCCGTCTCCCATGTACATTGCTAGACTCCTATTCAGTGGAGTTGTATTTTCTACCATCTTATATGGTAATGAGCTACACAGTAAGGGGGCACTAAGCAGAGCAGAGTGCCTTCAGAGGGGCTAGAGTTGATGAGTGGTCTGGGTAGATGTACCCTCTACAGCCACAGACCCTGAAGGGCCCATGAAGGAGCCAATGCATGCCACTCACTGTACTTCCTTGATTTTAGAATGCCATCTGTTGTAAGACAGATTTAAGAACATGTTTTTAAAAGAAAGAGGAAATATTTTTATATTAAATATAGGAGCGCTAAAACACTGAAAAGTGAAAACAATGTGTGTATTAGCATCATAAAAAAATCACACTGTTCCCATTGGTTGACCTGGTTGAATCATTTTTATGGTCTCCACTTTAGGTCAAACTATGAAAGACCTAAAGTTGGTTTTCAAATGTCTGTCATATTTACACCTTCATTATTTGGTAAATATTTCTAAGTCCCAAATATGTGCCAAGACCTGGGTTTGGCATTGACCATCCCAAGATCAACACAGAAGTTTTGCCAGAGGACTGTGTATTTCTATTTTATGAAATATATTTTTATTAATTTTCAGAGAGGAAGGGAGAGGGAGAGAAAGAAATACCAATGATGAGAAAGCATCATTGATCAGCTGACTGCTGCACGCCCCACACTTGGGATTGAGCCTGCAACCCCGGGCATGTACCCTGACTGGGAATTGAACTGTGACCTCCTGGTCGATGTTCAACCACTGAGCCACACCAGCTGGGCAAGAGGACCATCTTGAGCATAGAAATGGACATAGGGCTCCACAAGGATTTGGGGGAAGCTATGGATAACTAGTGATTTAGTTACTACTAGTAACAAGTAACTAAAGCTGAGAGGTGATGTTAAGAAGTAAGCTGGGAACAGATTGTGAAGAACCTCAGATGCCAAACTATAAGGGTTTGAACTTTATCCTTTAGATAGCAGGGGTCCATTTAATGTTTTTAAGCAAAGAGGATGACATAATGAAAAATGTCATATTTCTTGTGGAGAAGGGCAGAATATGATTCATCCTGAAAGATGAATCTCAGAGTGAGGCTTTATTCTTTCATTACTGTGATACTTCTCTCAGGATAACTCGATAAGATTTGAACACATGCAGAGAATATTCCTTCCCTTTCCTCTTGGTCCCCAGTCCTGTCCATGTGGTTCTATGCAAGACTGGGCAAGGCAGACTGTGACTGCCTGAGACGGGGCAATAGAAGTCTCAGCCAGGCCAGAATACTGGATCACTGAGATTTTTGAACATTGACAAGACAGAGCAAAGTTGCTAAAATCTTTTAGTGTGGAAGAGGGTATAGAGGAAGAAAACAGCTGAGAGTTAAATAGGAAAAAACACACCAATCACTTGTTTTCCATGATGAAAAGGGGGAAGCTGAATCACATGAGGACTGGATTTTCTTAGTTCTGTACTTGGTTATGTCACTACACAAAGAAGAGGAAGTTAAAAGAAGGTCTCCGTGACGAAAGGGAAGGTTTTATGAAGGGCAGGACTAAAAAGAGATTTGATTACCTAAAAGAAAGTGCTCCTCCATCTAAAACTGTTTTCATGATCCCTTCCTGGTTACTCCTGTGATGACCCCACATTTGCTAACCTTAGCTCAGACCTGACTTAGGTTAAAGTACTTCCCTAAAATTTAGAAAATTTAGCCTTGTGAATATTTTAGAGACACTGTGAGTAGAACATTAAATTCCTCCTAAAGCAGAGATTGGGACTTTTAGGGAATGTTGCTAGAGAGGAGGCTGGAAGCATCAACTGTAAGGCGTGACGGAATGAAGAGGATGGTGAGGAAA